GCGTTCCACCGCTGAATCAAACGAGAAAAGTTTTTTTTTATTGTTTACATTTTTGTCCGGGTGAAAACGAGGGAATGGATGGTAGTTAGTTTTGCATTCATGACCCGGGGAATGGACACAGCAAATAAATGCTTAATTAAAATCAACTATTGTTGGCTTAATAATAGAATATTGTTATTTTTACAATAGCTGCAGTTGAAAAGTGGCTTATTAAAACAAAAAGAATCCTATTTTGAATATATATGAATAATTGAAACAACAAAATACAATATAATTTAACCGGAATTGTTTGTTTAAATACAACTAAAGTTTTTTTTTTGGTTCAATGCAAAAAAATTCTGTCCGTGTAAAGATAATGAAGACGAGCTATTTAACTTTTTGATAGTAACGTGCATATTGCCGTTATAACTGAAACCTTCCTTAAACCTGACCATAAGTTTAAAAGGAAGCAAATTATTTCATTTATAGAAATGATCGTCTTGATGGAGCCTGCGGTGGCGTTGCCATCATTGTTTATAAACGAATTAAACATAAAATTCTTTCTTCATTTGAAACTAAAGTTTTTGAAAAAAAAAAATTTGAACAACTTACGTTTATAGCTGCCTACTTGCCATTCCAATGCGTAGGCCAGCAAAAAAAATTTCTCTAGGGTGACCTTCAGAAACTTACCCGTCATAGGTTTAAATTCTTCATTATTAGTGATTTTAATGCAAAACACCGCTCATGGAATAATGCTCAAAGCAATTCCAATGGCAATATTCTGTTTGGTGATTGTTCTGCGGGTTATTACACTATGCAATATCCAAACAGCTCAACATGCTTTTTTTTCAGCAAGAAATCCCTCAACTATTGATTTATTATTAACTGTTTCATGTCAACTTTGTAGCCAATTGGTTACCCATGCTGACTTCGGTTCTAAACACCTTCCAGTTACTTTTGAAATATCCCAGGAAATAATTTCTAATCCCAACAGCTCTACTTTCAATTACCATAGAGCTGATTGGAAACAATATTGAACATTTATGGAATATAACGTTGATCCAAACATTCCTTTGCAACCAAAGATGAAATTAATTATGCTCTTGAATCTCTGACTACTTCTATAGTTGAAGCAAGAGCTGCCTCAGTACCAAAATGCGAGATTAAATTCGATTCAATTATAATAGACGACGATCTTCAGCTCTTGATCCGTCTTTAAAATGTCCGTAGGAGACAATATCAAAGAACACGCGATCCTGCCATGAAAGTTATCTGTCGGGATTTGCAAAAAACAAATTAAAAAGCGATTCTCTGCCCTGAGGAACAAAACTTTTGAAAATAATGTTTCTAAATTAGACCCGAGTTCAAACCCTTTTGGAAACTCACAAAAATTTTGAAAAAAAACCTTCAGCGCTTAAAGAAGGTGGTAAAATTTTGATCACAAATTCGGAAAAAAAAGCTCAGAATTTTGCTAAGCAATTCGAGAGTTCCCATTATTTCAATTTGGATCTTACTAGTCGTATTGAGAATCAGGTTGCTCGGGATTATCTGAATATTTTCTCTCGGGAAAATATTTTTGATGATTCCTGGGGGACTGATTTGGACGAAGTAAGATTTATAACTAAAAAGTTTCATAATATGAAAGCTCCAGGTGATGATGGAATTTTCTATAACCTCATCAAAAAACTCCCAGAGAGTACCTTGTCTTTCTTGGTAAAATTATTTAACAGATGTTTCCATTTGGCATACTTTCCCGATAAATGGAAAAATGCAAAAGTTGTTCCAATTTTGAAGCTGCATAAAATCCAGCTGAAGCTTCTAGCTACCGTCCAATAAGTTTGCTTTCTTCAATAAGTAAACTTTTTGAAAAGATAATTTTAAATAGAATGATGCTTCACATCATTCTATTCAATTTTTGCATATGAGCAGTTTGGATTTCGCCATGGGCATTCAACTACTCATCAACTCTTAAGAGTTACCAATTTAATTCGGTCAAACAAATCTGAAAGCTGCTCAACTGGAGTTGCTCTTCTAGACATAGAAAAAGCATTCGACAGTGTTTGGCATGAAGGTTTGATTGCTAAATTGAAAAGTTTAATTTTCCACTCTATATTATGAAATTAATTCAAAATTATTTAACTGACAGAACTCTGCAGGTAAATTATCAAAATTCAAAATCTGAACGACTACCTGTTAGAGCAGTAGTTCCTCAGCGTAGCATTCTTGGGCCTATATTGTATAACATTTTCACTTCGGACCTCCCTGATTTGCCTCAGGGTTGCCACAAATCTTTGTTCGCTGATGACACAGGCATTTCCGCTAAATGAAGAAGTCTTCGTGTTATTTGCAGCATACTGCAGAAAAGTTTAGATATGTTCTCTCCTTACTTACACAAATGGAAGATTTCTCCCAACGCTTCCAAAACTCAACTTATAGTATTTCCATATAAGCCTAGAGCTTCCTTTTTGAAACCTAGTAGTAGTTACATAGGTAGTCACTATGAACGGAGTTCCAATTTCCTTGTCAAACCAAGTGAAATATCTTGGGTTAGTACTTGACCAAAAAGCCAAATGTAACAAATATATGAAATGTTTGTATCCTCTTATAAACAGGAAATCCAAACTTTGCCTGACGAATAAACTTCTAATATTTAAACAAGTTTTTAGACCGGCCATGCTTTACGCTGTGCCAATATGGTCTAGTTGTTGCACTACCAGGAAAAAGCACTTCAAAGGAATCAAAGGATTCAGAACAAAGTTCTGAAGATGATTTTTAAGCTGCCTCCCTGGTACAGTACTACCGAGGTACATAGAATTTCGAATGATGAGACTTTAGAACACATGTCCAACAAAATAATTAATAATTTCAGGCAAAAATCGTTGCAATCCTCAATTGCAACGATTAATTCTATTTATACTTAGATAAGATTTAGTTTATGTTTTTAGTTTTAAGATTTCAATTGTTATACTGACATGCACTGCCGTTCTACGCATATCTGTCCCATGTTACTTTTGGACGTTTTTCCCTTTTGTTCATAAAACAGTACTTTTTAGGTAAACTTTCGATTGAGAATAGAAAAACGTGTTATTTGTTTTGGGCTTATTTCAAAACATCAAGTCTAATTGTCTCATGTTGAAATTCTACCATTCTACCAGTGGCGTCGCGTAACCTTACTTTTTACCTGTTCAACAAATTTGAAAACGTTATTTAGGATCATGTTTTTGTTCAAATCAGTTTCAAAAAGTATAGGGTCTTCTCGTTTTACTGATTTGTATCCATTGGAACCAATATTGTTTTGTTTGTTTACGTTTTGAGAGTTGTTGAACAGGTAGATTGAGGTAAGGGCGACGCCACTGCATTCTACGCATAACTGTCCCAGAAAGAATTTTTTACTGAATCTTTTATTAACGAATCGATTTGAGTGCACGAATGATTGAAACAGGATTTATATGATCAAAAGAAACTCAATGAGTCATTTCGGGAAGTAGAAGCTTTATTTTATGATGAAAAATATTAAGAGAAACGGGAGTTCATATTACACCAGATTATAGTTCAGATTTCAAACTGTCCATTATTAGAGTAATAATAATCAATTGATAAGAAGGAACCAAAGACAAAATAACATGATTTAAAATTCAATTGTATGTAGCAACGATGTACAAACATCTTCCAATATTGGCATGATTACAAAAGTACGTATTATTGTCTAAAACAACTCGAAGCAACGCAGTTAACAATGATGGCACTTTCTGTCACTTGATGTGTTCATTCATCTAGTTGATAGCTGCTATCATATTTTGTAGTTAAAATAAGGTTCCTGTTGACTGATTCAGAATATCCGTTGCCGTATAGTCCTATCGTAAATTTAGTCGTTAGAATGTTCTCAATATACTACCGAGGATGCATTTGGTAGAATATAACGAAATCCTTACTGTGTATGTTAACTTTTCCAAAGTCTTTCTTGAAATCATCGAAGTCCACGATCGACAATCTTATTGTGTTCTACACAGAGCATTCATCATTTGTTTCTCAAGATGACCATACTTATAGGCTTTAAAGATGTAACAAACGACGATCGCAGCAATGTCAACTCACTTATTGTTGGATTCTGTTGATGATGCAAACCAATGCAAACTATCCACTTTCAAAATTTCGCGGAGCACTCAAGCACGCTCATGTAAACACAACCACAACCACAAGGGTAAAAACGTCAAACGCAACGTGGCCATCAAAGCAACACGGAAAGAAATAGTTCTAAGTGGGACTGATATGCGTAGAATTTCCTACATCATAGCCAATTTCTCGGCATAACAGTCCCACTGAATTGTTATCGTATAAAAATAAGCTTGACTAATTTCATTGAAGGTAATTTCTGTAGTTTTCACTAAAACAAATTGATTCTGTTGAAATATGAACAATGCACTAACTTATTTTAACTAATATTTCTTCCAATGAGCAGAAATGATTCGAAACACGATTTTCTCAGATGTTACTTTTAGAACATGGGACAGATATGCGTAGAACGGCTAAAAAAACAAACGGTTTAAAAAAAAACTGTTTAACATAATGTAAAAACACTTACATATATATCATAACAATTAAGGCTGGTAAGTGGCTGTAGTAACTAGAGCACCTAGGTTAAAATGAAATGTAATTTATTTTGAATTTGGAACAGAGTTAAAAAAAATAAAATATCGAAGCCGCAGCGTAAATGCAGAGAGGAGTAGCTATCTAGCAACGCCAGCTAGCGCTGATAGTATGAGAAGTGCATGAGCACAGCCCCCCCCCCCCCCCTCCGAAGTAGTCGCTTCACCGTGGAGAAAGTAAGAAATGGGTTTTAGTGGAGCTGCACTAGGCAACTAGTGGATACCACACCGTGCCAACTTCACTACAGGCCAGGCTTTTTGAAACTTTGCTAAACGTAAACCTTACTAAAAAATAAAAATGAAAAATAACACATACACCCACTCACACGAACATACACACACAAGACTAGGATTTCTTAGAATTGAACAAAACTATTTAGGTCAATATACTCAATACTGGTTATATTACAACAAATGTGTATCGTATCGAATCCACATATTCTGAAACATTATTTAGCATGAAGAAAATTACAAATTATACTGTCAAGATTTTAGCATCAATGCAAAATTTACTTTCTTAATGACGGATTTTTAAAATATGAAAATGTGTTCTTACTCTCCTAAACTTAGGAATCGTATATTCTTTGGTAGGTTGTCATTTTGTATAATTAACAATGTGAGCCATACATTAACTATTCCATTAACTAGCAGTTGTTGTATATAAATGCTTTTTGTTTACTTAAAGGTTCAACTTCTGCATATACAAACATAAAGCCCTATGAATCAACTCGTATTGTTCGGAATTTTGTACCATACCTCCACGTTGTAGCCTAAGGTTGCATACGATACCGAGTATATCTACACAAGTTTGACCACTGTTCCATACTGTCGAATGTTGCTGGCTTTCATTTGGTGCTTCTGACGGTTCAAAATCATTTTCCGAGTTCTTTTCAACAGGTTGTTCTGCTAACTTATTGGCGTTTGAAGATGAACGCATTTGACTCAAACCATTGATGATTGCGAGCAAGCAGCCTGTTCTTCCAATACCTGCAGAGCAATGTATGATCGGCAATGAGCGAATTCGTTCATGGTTTCCTACTTCTGGTCCATCGTCAAAATCTTTGGAACAATCATTATCAAGTATATCGAGACTCATATCTAGCAGCACATCTATATCTTCCGGAGATCGATGATCTGGCCAGTCTGGGAACCAATAATGATATATTGTATAAAAGCTTCGCTTTTCTTTTTTTTCTTTTTCATCCCGACACGAATAAACCACTAACAATTTACGCATAGTGTATCCATTTTTACGACATATACCAACATTTTTGATGAGAAAATAGTTAAAATCAGTGCTGGGTTCAAATGGCTTTGCTTGGTACGGTTCTGTAAACTGTTGTATGTCGGTTATAATGGTATCTCTATTCGCAAGTACTGCCTGTGCATTCACATTTGCTAAACTGCAAAACACTATTGAATCATTAAGCTCCTGTGGAAAATATACAGAACATTTTTGCCTATTATTTTCTACAAAATCCGTCAACATAATTAGTTTCTGTTCTACATGCAGGAAATTTCCATTGCGACATGATGCTGCCTTCGCAACGTTCTGTTGTACCATAAGCCAAAACTCGTATATAGTATTCGCCATGGGGCCTTGGGTAGCAATGTAACTATTGTTGGTATAATCCGAACCCTGAAAAAAGACAATCAAGAGTTAAACACATGTGAAATGTTGTAGACCACATTAGAGAGAAGCAACTAGAAGGCGGGATTTCATTTTTAACACTCTTTTGAAATAGATTTTGAATTGCTGAAAATGCTACGTACCGATAGATCTCGTGAAAACTGCACAAAAGCCTTGTTCGCGTGGAAAGGGCATTACAAATTTTGTTTACAAAAGCTTATGTGTAGTTTTCAAATGTTACGTCTGAGATATTCTAATTCTAATTTTGTTTCCCATACACATTTTTTTAGCGTATAAGTTTTACGTTATGTTTCGAATATTATTTTTTAAGCTGAGAATTTCCTTTTGCCTGGTTTTCCTTCCATGTATGCTCAGCCAATGGACTCAATCTAAGGCATGCTTAGCATACACAGTTGTACACACCAACTGCTCATTTGTTAATAACTTTTCACTTTTTTTTTACTTTGACTATATGTTTTTAGTATTACTTCTACGTGAAGTCAACGATTTACATAGTTGAAGATGCTAATTTCAAATAACAGACTGTAGTGGTAATTTTTATACGATAGATGGAGTAGATGAAAGCATAGAGTTGATAGTTCCGTTAGAGTACGGCAGTGTGAAGATTGTATATAGATATTAGAATAGCGAACTAGGACAACTTTTAAGGAAGGTACAAATCGGTTTTTTCATCTCTCTTTACCAAACTCCCCCTTTGGAGAGGGATGGTGAGGGGTGTCCCCCCCCCCGCCACTTAGATCCAAGTAAATATGAAACTATATTGTTCCGTCTCCGCCGAAAGTCAACTGATACGAACACGACCAACAAGCAGCGAAGAACGAGACAATCAATAGGCTACAACATCCACCAATCAGCGACGACCACATCAACGCTCGCCGCTTTAAAAGCGGCATGCATCACCGTGCAAAACAAGAGTTCTTTTCCGACCAAGCACCAGCAAACATCAGCAGCAGTAGAAGCAGAATTTGTAGAGAGAAAGAGGAGAGAATAAACAGTTGTTAGCGTAGCCGTCCCGATCAAGTTTATTTTGCACACATCCCTGGTTTGGAGTAGCGTCGAACCCACCAGCTCTTTTCAGAGCCCTTACGAGTTGATTTCCGATCGACGCTTGCTTCCTCCACCACCCTGCCGATACAGTCCACTACCGAAAGGGAAAGTTCCCTCCCAGTCCGAACATAATTTGGTCCATCCGAACCGGATCACGAGCCAAGAAGCTTTCGCCGTGAAAGTTTACGCATAGATGTTCCTGCCAACTGGAACGAAGCCGATTTCCCACCGAAAGAAACGGACGTGCTACGCTAGCCAAGTACCAAACAAACAAAACTACTTCCGCTGCTGCCGATGACAGCATCGTGTGCGAAGTATACAAAAAAGTGAATCATATGAGTGAGCGCGTTCGCGAAAAACAATATTCCGAAAAGTGAATCACATGCGTGTGATAGTTTACTACGCGTTCCAAAGATGACCGATGTGGAAAGGTTGATCGTACTTCGTGGCTTAGTAGAGGCGAAGGTAACGCGAATCCTGAAGGAAGTGCAAGAAACCGATATCACCATGCATCCGGTGCTGTGTAACAGGCACGCCAGGAACCTCCAGCGGTATTACCAGGAGTATCAATGGTTGCACAACAGAATTATGACCGCCATCTCTGCAGAGAGATTTGATGAGCAGGATGAGGACTACCTGCGTTTCGATGATCTCTACACCGAGGCCTGTATACTGGTGGAAACATTGCTGCTTGCCTTTCCAACTACCGATATCAGGCACCACCAACACCGAACACTCATTCCACGTTCTGCTAGCGAATGAGCAACATCAGGGTCTGTTGTCTCGTCACATGGCATTGCATTGAATGTATTTTTTCACCGCGAAAAGTTTTTTATTTGCAAGTAGTTATTGTGCCTTAGGTGACTCGCGCATTTCGGAAGGAAGCAGCCGATCCTGGCGAAGCCTACGGTCGGTCTGTTCAACATTAACCCGCTTCGACGATATCGAAATTCTTGCCGCAAAATTAGCCGTAGTTAGCAGCAAGAACGGTTAAACAGTGGCAATCACACGGACTGGAAACAATAACCAGCAAAAAGCAGTGAGCCACCGCACGGACGGTGTGTACGACCGGCATCTATTGTGGAAGAACAGCAACAGTATAAGCAGTAGAAACAATAAGGGCAAATAATAGCACGTATCTGTTTTTTTGTATACCCATTCCTCTGACTGTTTGCTTGTGAATCGTCTGTCTCTCCCCCAGTGGAATCGTTCCACATAGGGTGGTTCTTTAATAAAAAATTAATTACTTCTTAACGAAAGTTTTCAATTTCATATGGATGAAGGACAGGGGGGCGTCAAGCCTCCCAATAATAAAGTAAGAAAGCGTCATTACCAGGCGTCTTCTGCTTCGCCTTGGGTTGTCTACTTTCGGCAGAAAGAGAAAGCCCTAAACTTCTTAGGGATTAAAAGAACGTTGACGCGTCGTTTCCCGGGGACCGAATTTCATCAGGTCAATCGGAACAAACTGCGTATAACTGCACTCACATATAAAGTCGCAAATGAGATTGCTGACGACGAGGGTTACAATGAAGAGTATTACGTCTACATCCCATCTCGAGATGTGGAGATAGACGGCGTGGTCTCTGCAGTGAGCCTGACTTGTGATGACGTCATGGAAGGTATGGGGCGCCTTCAAAATGCTGCTACATCTACCGTGGACGTTCTGGGTTGCAGGATATTGTATTCAGCGACCACGGTAGATGGTCAAAAGACTTATTCCCCTTCAGGCTCATTACAGGTGTCTTTCGCTGGATCGGTTCTCCCAAAGTTCTTAGAAATTGAAAATGTTTTTTTCCCGGTGCGACTTTTTGTACCAAGGGTATATAATTGTACCAACTGCAAAAAGTTGGGTCACACAGCTGCTTTTTGTGACAACAAGCCCCGTTGTGGCAAATGTAGCCAAGACCACATGGAGGGTGCTTGCCAACAGGAAGCAACTAAATGTGCTTACTGTGGCAAAGAACCTCTTCATGCTTTGCAGGACTGCCCCGCGTACAAGAAGCGTACCAACAATGTGAAGCGTTCAATAAAAGAACGCTCCAAGCTGACGTTTGCAGAAATGGTTAAGTTGCAAAATGGAACCTCTGCTTCGTTGGCATCAGCCGCTCAAAATGAAAACACTTTTGAGATTTTGTCTTCCGATGAACTGGACTCTGACATAGCAGATGAGAGTGAGTCTCCGGAGGTACACGCCCCCGGTAAAAGGAAGCCGACTAGCTCCCCGGGAGTGCGCCGGAAAAAAAATAAAACCACTCTCAAAAGCATGCAAAAATCTGAAGGTAGCGGGGATTCATTGAAAAAACCGAACAAATCGGTAATTGCTGCTCCAGCTGATCCTTGCTGCAGCTTTTCCACCCCGCCGCTACCTAATAAAGGTAATCGTAAGAGGTTACAAAAAATAAACACCACGTCTACTCGCAATTCAAAGAAAACTCTCCCGTCCAAGCGAGGAAAGATTAAATTTAAGGACATTGTGGATAATATTTTGAATGCCCTCGGCTTTCCCGACGAATCGCCACCTCGAGGGCTTATTGACCTGCTTGTTCCTATAGTCGGAAACTACTTCAAGCAATTGACTGCATCATGGCCCCTCATTGGTGAATTCATATCTTTCGATGGATAATTCGTCGAGTGAGGATCAAGATATGATCACTTTATTACAATGGAACTGTCGTAGTTTAATACCTATATTAGACTCGTTCAAGTATTTGATTCTCAATTCTGATTGTGATATATTTGCACTCTGTGAAACTTGGCTTTCTTCTGAAGATGAACTAAACTTCCACGATTTTAACATTATCCGCCTGGACCGAGATGATTCATATGGTGGCGTACTTTTGGGGATCAAAAAGTGCTACCCCTTCTATAAAATCTCAATCCCAATAATTTCAGGCATTGAAATTGTCGCTTGCCAAATAAATGTGAAGAACAAAGATCTTTGCATAGCTTCTGTATATGTCCCTCCAAGGACTTCCATAAACCGCCGTCAGCTTTGGAGTTCAGTTAATATCCTTCCATCTCCAGTTCTAATACTTGGCGATATGAACTCACACGGTACTGGTTGGGGCGAATCATACGATGACAATAGAGCGGGTATTTTCTATGATTTGTGCGACGATTTCAACTTGACTATCTTGAACACTGGTGAAGCAACACGTATAGCAAACCCTCCTGCTCGAGAGAGCCGTCTTGACATTTCTTTGTGCTCTAACTCACTATCATTAGATTGTCTGTGGAAGGTTATCAATGATCCCCATGGTAGTGATCACTTGCCAATTATTATTTCAATCAAAAGTGGTCGTCTAAAAACAGATCAGTCAATTCAAGTTCCTTTTGACCTCACGAGGAACATTGATTGGCAAACATTTGTATCGGCGGTAACTCTTGGTATTGATTCTACCGATCCTCTACCACCACTGGAAGAGTATCGTTTCTTTACCGAGCTAATCTACAAAAGCGCATTAGAAGCTCAGAAACGACGTGTTCCAAATGCATCCCTCAAAAGAAGACCCGCCACCCCAGGATGGGATGACGAATGCACAAAGTTGTATCTTGAGAAATCCGATGCCTTTAAAGATTATCGTAGACATGAAAGATCTGAGCTTTTTGAAAAGTATCTAAAGCTTGAAAAAAAGCTTAAAAACTTACTAAAAGCAAAGAAACGAAATTACTGGCGTACTTTTATCGAGGGACTTTCTAGAGAAACCTCGATGACAACGCTTTGGAAAAAGGCTCGCTATATGCGAAACCGCTCATCTTCCAATGAGAGTGAAGAATACTCCTCACAATGGATATTCGACTTCGCTAAAAAGGTTTGTCCAGATTCAGTTCCAGCACAACCAACTTTACGGGATACAGCCCGAAGTACCGGTTCTCTGGATGAACCATTCACAATGCTGGAATTTTCAATGGCACTTCTTTCATCGAATAACTCTGCTCCG